GAACGAGAGACAAAACGATGCAAAGAAAAAAAAAAAAAAAAGGTGAGTGTAACGACGGGAAAAGATCGCGTCCGTTTACACGGGCAATGTTAGTAACAAGCATGAAAGGACCTAACAGGACTATAAAACAGGACGTCGAGTCGTTCGCAGTGACTCGAGTGGTGGGGACTGGCGACCTTGAGCGGCTAAATCTTCGGCCAGAGCTATAAACGTCGCAAGGGACGCGGCGAGCACCGCGATTCCCCCGTCGTTCGACTGCGATCCAATTGGTGGGAGGTTGAGTCATTGGTTCCACGGTCCACGGGGTTCGTTCGCGATTTTCCAAACGGCTTGCTCGCCGGAGCGCTTAATATCGTGGCTCGAATTCTCTATCTATCTCGTTCCCTTTCTCTCTTTCTCTCTCAGCTTGCAACGTATTGTTCGCGGCCCCTGTACATCACCCGATTCGTTCCCGTTCGTCGGGAATAACGCTCCTTTGCCGAACACCACCGATCTCTGGCCCCTTTCGCGCGGCTTTTTATTATTATCCGGTTATTTATCGCGGCCGTTTCCCCCGCGAGCGAAGACCCCTGCATTGTGCTGCAGTGACGTCGCTGTCGGCTAAGTTATTTATAATGATTGCCATCTTGCGCGCGCGCTCTGCACGTACGTATAAATACGCAGGTAGCAGCGCAACATGTCGTCAATTCGAGCTAGTATAACCGACAGATCACTACGAGCACCTGCTGATCCTGAAATATCTGTTTGACGACGACGACGACGACGACGACGACGACGACGACGATGCGTACCCTTTGGAAACGTATACGGGAAGCTGTATGCGGGGAACTCAACGAGGATATTAAATTCCTGCGGCCAGAGCTTCCGGTCACAGAGGGAGCGTGTCTATCATTTTTCAATTCGCGTTTCGTCAGGATAGTATTCGATGTAATTCGAGCCGCGTACTCGCATTTTTGCGGGAATACGCGAGCTTCCAAGCGAGGTGAATGAGACGGTGGTACTTGTTGATTTATAAGTCTTCCGTATGTTCCACTCTCCTGTTCACGAGAGTTCGATTCTTCACGTATCATCGTTGGAAATATATTTCGACAGACGTGAGAATTTTGTCCAGTTCAAAGACGACCGAACAAGTTGGCTATCGTTAACTAATTGATTGTCGACATAATCAAAGAGTCGTTTGAGCTTTGTAGATGAAATAAACTCTAACGTAAATCACGAGGAGGATGACAAGCTGTAAAAGTCGCAGACCTGCAGCGAGAATTTCAAAGGTAATCAAACGTATCGCGCTATGAATGTAAAATTACGTTTTAATACATTTCGGCCACAGCTCCGCCTCGACTCTCTCCCTTGAATTGCACTCGTTCACCAGGAGCGATTCATTACGCTCGTAGCACCCGCTAATCTAAATTTTAACATCACATCCAAGACACGTTGTGCTCGCGCTGCGGCAATTGAAAATTCATAGGTCAAATCGCAGCATGCTAACATTAACACCGACTGCATAATACTCGAGACGCAGAACCGAACTGCAAATCACGTACTGTAAAATTTCTCTGCAAAAATTGTAAGTTGATTATTTCGATTGAATTACATTTCTCTCGATATCGCGTAAACGATTCCATCGAATCTTATGCTTGCGTGTGTGTATTACGTTGAAACGAAGAAGAAACGTCGAGCGTTTACAATCGTTACAATCGATTGCCTTTCGTTACAGTTTCGATCGGTAGAAAGAAAGAATGACGAACATAAAGGAGAACGAGATGTGTATCGGGGTCAAAGCTGCCTCGAAGAAAGGCAAAAACTGGTCGAGAGAAAATGACGATTAACAAAGTCGCCGGTTATCTTCGATCCAGGATCACTTTACAAGGTTGTAATTACGCCTATTTATTCGTTTTCATCGGCGGTGTGCGCAACAGCGCCGCCGAATTAGGAACGATGAGTATTATTTTTGCCGAGTTTCAATTTAATGGTCGATCAGAATCGAACTGGCGAGTAGCGGTGCTCCGCTAATTCGCCGAGATCGCTTAATGCAACTTGGCCAAAGTTGTTACGCGAATGCATTTCAGCTGCGGCGTGGTAACATTTACTGCACGTTCGAGGAACCCGGTAATTTGGTGCAAGTTTCGTTCGATGGTTCTTCGAATCGATTGTAACAACGTGCGAGCAAAAAGGGTTCGAGGGCTTGATTAATCGCGTTTGCAAACTGTCGAACGTCTACAGTTCGTATCGTTTGCAAAAAAATCGTATCTGGATGATTAGTTAAATTCGATATATACAGGGTGTCCCATGTGAGGCTAACCACGTAATTTCCTCTTAAACTATTCGCTGTGGAGGAAAACGTTTCAAATGAAAATTGAACGCCGTTTCGAGGGACATTGAACTGTATATGGAATAGATAGAATTTTCGTACACACAGAAAAATTCACAAAAACGTGAAAGAGACGAAGGAAACAAATCCAGAATCTGGAAAGCAGGAATACGACAGATGTTTTGAACACGATTCCCACGTAACGACAGGCACCACTGGAGAAAAATACCTACGTGATAGCAGAACAGAAACACGGACGTTTTACCTAATTTTTTTTTGATGAAATTACCGGCGTCGCTGAAAAGAGACGTTCTAAACGCGAAAAATGAATAAAAAATTCCTTTTAATTTCGACGTCAAATTAAAATTTCAATCAGGCGGTATATCGAAAACTTCGATTCCCATATCGAGCATAACGTCGCTCAATTCCGAAAACTTCCATACTCGCGGGGGCAAC